GCTGGCATGGCACTGTGCTGGCACTGGTTTGCCATGGTACGGGGCTGGCATGGCACTGTGCTGGCACCGGGCTGGCATGGCACTGGACTGGCATTGGGCTGGCATGGCCCTAGGCTGGCACCAGGCTGGAGTGACACCAGGATGGCATGGCACTGTGCTGGCATGGCACCAGGCTGGCATGGCACTGTGCTGGCATGGCACCAGGCTGGCATGGCACTGTGCTGGCATGGCACCAGGCTGGCATGGCACTGTGCTGGCATGGCACCAGGCTGGCATGGCACTGTGCTGGCATGGCACCAGGCTGGCATGGCACTGTGCTGGCATGGCACCAGGCTGGCATGGCACTGTGCTGGCATGGCACCAGGCTGGCATGGCACTGTGCTGGCATGGCACCAGGCTGGCATGGCACTGTGCTGGCATGGCACCAGGCTGGCATGGCACTGTGCTGGCACCGGTTTGCCATGGCATGGGGCTGGCATGGCACTGTGCTGGCATTGGGCTGGCATGGCACTGGATTGGCACCAGGCTGTCATGGCACAGGGCTATCATGGCGCTGGTCTGACACGGCACTGGTCTGGTACAAGTTTGCCATGGCACGGGGCTGGGACGGCACAGGTCTGGCACCAGGCTGGCATGGCATTGGGCTGGCACTGTGCTGGCACGGCACGGGGCTGGCACGGCACGGTGTGGGTGATGTTTTCAGCGCGAGGAGGTGACAGAGGCAGGCAGCGAGGGGCTGTCCGCTCTGGGAGCTCTGCCCTCCTCCAGCCCTGCCAGCGTCCCCGCTGCGGGCGCTGCCGCCCCTGCCCAGCCCCGGCAAACTCCAGCTCGGCGGCTAATCCCAGCAGCGGATAATCGGCTGCTGTGGGTATTTACACTGTGAGCTGCCCGGGGCAGCAGCTCCCTCTCCCCGGCAGGACAAGGGCACCGCCGCAGCAGGGACGCCCCGTGGTACCCACCCGGTGTGGAGGGGATGCGACCGCCACCGGTGCCCTGTGCCCATCACCACGCGCTTGTCCCCAAGCACCCAAACGCCCACCGACGGGACCCTCCTGCACCCCAGTGCCCCACGCGGAGGTTCCCCAGGGCAGGGACCCATGGGTGCCGGTGCCACCCACCCCACGCCAGCCGAGGTGGGATGCTGGCGACTGTTGTCAGAGCGCGGGAGCTGTCGGCGCACGATGCCCGCCGCCTTCCCTTCCCCTCCGCTCCTCAAAGGGACTTTGCTGGGTGTCCCAAGGGACCGGGGTGGGGGCGGCGGGGGGGCTCGAATGCCTCCCCCCGCATCGAGGAACCCCCTGCGCTGCCCGTCCTGCCGGGCAAAGGGCTGTTTAGTCTGGCGGAGGGTGATACGGGGCCAGCGGACGTGGGGGAGGCTGCGGGCAGAGCGATTGCGGTGGCACAGCGAGCGCTGAAAGGCTTTCCGTGGGCCTTGACGTTAGGCCGAGGCGACGGGCGGCTCCCCAAAGGCTGGAGGCTTAAAAGGCAAAGGGGTGCCCCCCACGCCGCCGTGTCCCTCAACGTCACCGTAACCCCCCCCTCGCCTCATCCCCCATGAAGCGCTGGCGCCGCGGCACATCTGATGCCACCAGCTCCTCACCCTCCAGCAGGCACGGGGTGGGGGGGGATCGTGGCACAGTGGCTCTGGGCTCTGAGCGTGCGTGCACACGTGTGTGCGTGGGAACATGCCTGTGTGCATGGGAATACACATGTGTGCATGGGAATACACATGTGTGCACAGGAGCGTGTGCCTGTCTGCATGGGAATGCGTCTGTGTGTGGGAACACATGGGAGCACATTCATGCGTGTGTGGGAATACATGTGTGTGCGTAGAAATACACATGTGTGCGTGGAAATACACACGTGTGCATGGGAATACACCTGTGTGCACGGGAGCGTGTGCCTGTGGGCATGGGAACATGCCTGTCTGCATGGGAATGTGTCTGTGCGTGGGAACGCATGGGAGCACGTTCATGTGTGCGTGGGAATACATGTGTGTGCGTGGAAATACACACGTGTGCATGGGAATACACCTGTGTGCACGGGAGCGTGTGCCTGTCTGCATGGGAATGTGTCTGTGCGTGGGAACGCATGGGAGCACGTTCATGTGTGCGTGGGAATACATGTGTGTGCGTGGAAATACACACGTGTGCATGGGAATACACCTGTGTGCACGGGAGCGTGTGCCTGTCTGCATGGGAATGCGTCTGTGCGTGGGAACACATGGGAGCACGTGCACGTGTGTGTGGGAATACATGTGTGTGCGTGGGAATACACACATGTGCATGGGAATACACATGTGTGCATGGGAGCGTGTGCCGACGGGCATGGGAACATGCCTGTCTGCGTGGGAATGCGTCTGTGCGTGGGAACGCATGGGAGCACGTGCACGTGTGTGTGGGAATACATGTGTGTGCGTGGGAATACACACGTGTGCATGGGAATACACATGTGTGCATGGGAGCGTGTGCCGACGGGCATGGGAACATGCCTGTCTGCGTGGGAATGCGTCTGTGCGTGGGAACGCATGGGAGCACGTGCACGTGTGTGTGGGAATACATGTGTGTGCGTGGGAATACACACGTGTGCATGGGAGCGTGTGCCGACGGGCATGGGAACATGCCTGTCTGCGTGGGAATGCGTCTGTGCGTGGGAACGCATGGGAGCACGTGCACGTGTGTGTGGGAATACATGTGTGTGCGTGGGAATACACACGTGTGCATGGGAGCGTGTGCCGACGGGCATGGGAACATGCCTGTCTGCGTGGGAATGCGTCTGTGCGTGGGAACGCATGGGAGCACGTGCACGTGTGTGTGGGAATACATGTGTGTGCGTGGGAATACACACGTGTGCATGGGAGCGTGTGCCGACGGGCATGGGAACATGCCTGTCTGCGTGGGAATGCGTCTGTGCGTGGGAACGCATGGGAGCACGTGCACGTGTGTGTGGGAATACATGTGTGTGCGTGGGAATACACACGTGTGCATGGGAGCGTGTGCCGACGGGCATGGGAACATGCCTGTCTGCGTGGGAATGCGTCTGTGCGTGGGAACGCATGGGAGCACGTGCACGTGTGTGTGGGAATACATGTGTGTGCGTGGGAATACACACGTGTGCATG